GAGCAGGGAGCCCGATGCGGGGCTCGATCCCAGGACCGTGGGATCATGACCTGAGCCGAAGGCAGACGCTCAACGACTGAGCCACCCAGGCGCCCCAGAAATACATTAGATTCTTAATTAGTATTTACATAGATAGTGAAATGTAATTAAACATTGATGCTATCAGACCATAATCATCTGGTTTGGAAATTTTTCCTCTCGTTTTGGCTGTTTCACGTTTCCTGGAGAAAAGAGTAAATCTGCTTCCTGGGGTGGTCCCAGCCGTGCGCACAGAAATGGAGCGGTCAGCTTTACTCCCTTTTTTTATTCATCTCTACCATGATCTGTTGTTTTTATTAAATATCTAAATTGGGAATTCTTTCCACAAAGCCCAGTTAACTCTTTTGAAAAATGTGCAGGGACAGCAGTCTGTACATGTCTGCCATTGAATTTTTTCTCTTGAGCTGAAACATGATTTTCAGAATCATTTGTACAAACCTTGCTTACAGATCTCATTTTCTCCACAGTTAGTTTTTTAAAGTATCAGTTGCCGTTGTTCTACCTTTCATCAATCAGGATTTTTGCCTTTTTTCTAGAAAATTAAAACGCGGTGGCTCCAGACTAGTGAGCTCTGGACGGCTGTGCTGGCTGGGCCCGCGGCGCTCGCCTATCTCTGTCCCCTGCTTTCCACTGAGCAGTTGGGCAGTGGCGCTCCAGGGGCTGTTCCCCGGAGGTGCTCTCCAGCAGATAACTGCCGCCCGGTTACCAGCAGCCCTGTCTTTGTCTGCTTCTGAGTGTTCCCATCATGTATCTGTGCCCTGTCTCTCCGCACACACCAGAATCTTGAAACACACTTTTGCTTTCCAGAGTCGGGGGTCAGCTCTGATGATGACGATGATGAAGGAGATGGGAGTTACCTGCACCCGTCTCTCTTTGCTTCCAAGAAGTGTAACCGCCTGGAGGAGCTGATGAAGGTTTTGATCTTCTGTATTTTTTATACTATAACAAAACTGCTGCTAGTCTAGTTTTGGGAAATCATGAAGCAGCCATTTCTTTTGTATCTTATCATCATCAAAGTCTGTTTTGCATTTTCATCGTTTGATTGGTGGCTCACTTTTATCGGTGGCAGTACAGTCCTGCCCACCCCTCCTTCCTTTCCCGAGTGGTTACTAGAGGATGGAAGCCATCTGTCCCCTCGCTTCCTCTGGGGCTCACGCATGGCCACAGTCAGGCCCTCTCTGTATGCACGCTGAGGGTTTCCTGAAGCACGTCCACCGAGCCCTTAAGTTGAGCCTTCTTTGGCCACAAAAGAGTTCTCCGTGACTCAGGGTCCGGGAACGGTGTGATCATGCATCCTCTCTGTCTGCAGCCTCTGAAGGTGGTGGACCCGGATCACCCCCTTGCCGTGCTGGTCCGTAAAGCCCAGGCCGACAGCCCCGCCCCCACCCCCCCCGCGGCAGATGGCACCGTGCAGCCCTCCCAGGTCGAGTACACCGCTGACTGTGAGTACCTCACTGTGCGCCTCCCGGCCTGCAGCCCACGTCTGGTGGAGGTGCTGGGAGGACTCAGTCACTCGGGTCTTAATGGTTAGCCATCCTCGGCACGTGGCCTCATCCTGTTGTGTGTCACCTAATGTTGACGAATGGCTGCTCCGTGTCCAGCATCAGCTCTGCCTTCCAGGAAGGATGCACAGAAGGGTAGGGGAGGAAAGCAGGTGCTCGGGGACTTTGCCCTTCTTTGAAGACCCCTGCTTCCCCCCGGCAAGAAGCCATGCCTGGTGCCTCCCTTTGACCCGCACAGACAGGACGGTGTTGCATGGTCTCCCGGCCTGCAGGGGGGTCTGGAGTCCCAACAGGCCGCGGCCCTAACCGAAGTCGAAGCTCTGTTACGAAGCCCAAGGAGCACGGACGCTGGTGGGCTTGCATTGTCTGCATGGTTGCTTTCCTGGAAAGGACACAGCTCAAGCTAACGTGCGATGTGCGCCCTAGAGTCCCAGCTAGTTACAGTTCCCACCTGTTCGGGCTCCTTGCTAGCCTTTTGTCTTTTTAATTACCAGAAAATTATTAATGGAAGGCAAATCTTGAGGTTCTATTCAAGTAATCATTTGAAAGTATTTGACCTCGGTCTCGTTATCCGATCTTTTTAAAATTGCTCAGAAGTTCAGTGTTGAATAAGAGCAGAGGCTTTAGGATGGCTGCAGGGATTTGTTGTCCTTCACCTGCAGATCCGATCAGATGATCCATCCATAAAGCTCGTCACCATTAAGAGGGTGGAAGATCAGCGGAGATAATTCTCTTTTAAGACGTAGGCTGCTCATTATTCGAGTGTCTGTCAGAAAGAGTAGCCAGGCCCCTCTGCGCCCCTCTCCTGGTGCGGCCCGTGGCAGCGTGTGACTCTGACATGCCGAAGTAACGTTTGCAGACTTTACAAGTCAGTGACTTGAGGGAACCCTGAAAAAGCTTCTTAAAGGACCTGGGGTTTGCAGTGCTCATGGCGGGGAGTGCTGTGTGGACAGCAGGGCCACATCGGTGAACGGGAGTCGGAGTGACCAGTAGAAATTGGCTGAGTAGAACGTCCCTCGGCTTCCTTGTTTTCCTTTTTCAGCCCTGTCATTGGATTTCTCCAAGTTAAACACCTTGTCCGTGTGCATCCACTAGATCGTGAAGCTATTGAACTGTCTTGCACGGAAGAGGAGAGGAAATTCGGGGGCAGGGTCACCATCACCCGATCATTCGCTCTGTTTATCATGGAGCTTGTATCGTTAAGCATCGAGGGCGGTGGCGGGAGGCGTGTCTGCAGCCGCCACGGCACTGGGGGCGGGGGGGGGGGGGCGCCTGCCGTGCAGCAGGTCCAGTGGCTGCTCTGTGACTCAGGCTCCCTGTGGGCTCCCAGAGCCCCATTGATGGCGGTCCCTCGTTGGGCAAACAGCAGGTGCACCAGGTGTAACTCCCCGCCTGGACCGTGCCCACCTTCCCCCGGAAGTCCTCCAGCGGGGCGCGCCAGTTAGTGACCACGGCGCCTCCCAGAGTGTGAGCGTGACAGGCCGTCTGGGACTCGAGCCTGGTGTTACTGCCTCACAGCTCAGCTGTCTAAGCCAACAGAGATGAGAGAGTCCCTGCTGACAGGACCCGGGGCTGCTTACGCAGGGATCGCAGCTGTGCCAGAGGCAGGGACCGGGGTCCAGGTTTTCCGGAGAAGCAAGAAATCTAAATTTAGGTGAAATAACCCAGTTTACAAATGTCGGCAGTGAGTTCATATTTTGTAAAAATACAAGGCAGTCCAAGAAAACAGTGGGCAAGTAGGTGCTGCTTGTAGGCATCCCTCTGCATCCAGTCTCCACTGTGCCTGTGGAAGGGGTCATGGGCGTGGGGGCAGTGGGCTGTCCCAGTGCTTCTCAGGAGACTGCTCAGCAGTGGTCAGTGCTGCCTAGAGGCTGGGGAGGTGGGCTGTGAGGTGTCCAGATTGCATGTAGCACCCTCGTTACCAGAAGCGAGAGCCGATTCGTTGACATGGGGAGGACAGAAGCTGGACTGCAGTGGGCAGGAAGCAGACAGGGTGTGGAAATGGACGCCTGAGCATGGGCCCTCTGAAGCTGGGCTGTGCAGAGGGAGAGGGGCCATGCCTGGTGGGGAGCGAGTGTCCCGTGAGAGCCCCCCGACAGCACCCGCCTCAGGGTCGCCCCAGCAACCTCTATCCGGGGTCTAAGGCTCATGGGGTGAGGCAGGAGGCCCGGACAGTTAGACACACTGATCCAGTTTCTAGGAGGAGCCCCGGGCTTGAACTTGCCCAGTGCAAATACATGTGAGCACCTGTATTCAGGTTTTCAAAGATGTTTGTTTTCATCTGCGGGTAGATTCTGTGGTTACCTTTGGAAAAAAAAAAACAAAACCAAGAATATGGAAAATTTGAAAAGGAGGCACAGTGAGTCCTATCAGGTAGTAAGTGAAATGTTACAAGGGAAGACCTGTCGGGGCCTGAGGAGGTGGTGGTTTAAACAAAGTCTGGGCTAAGAACAGACCTAGAAGTGGTACCGGCGGACCTGAAACATCTCATACCGTGGACACGAGGTGTGCCATCGGCCAGTTGCGTGGGACTGCCCCCTCCGTTCCGGACGCCGTGCGGTGACCGGCCCCGGAGCAGAGTTTGGGTGGCGGTCTGTGACTTGACAGCTCTCCGTCCAGTTCTCCCTGGTTCCGCACGGTCTTGTAAGCAGTTGGTCCTCCACCGATTTGCATAAATTCTAATTAAATGTGTAATTACAGTAGTTTCACTGGAAAAAACTGTTCCAGAGGAGAGCTGTGCCGTTCAAGCAAACAGGCCCAGCGAGCTGGAGAGGAGCCTCATGGCCCTGGCGTGCAGCGCACCAGGCTGGCAGCTTGCCCAGCACGCACAGCAGGGCCGCCGTCAGAGGGCGCACGGACGAGAGCCCCGAGACGCACGACCAGAGCGGGTGGGGAAGGCACCGGGGCAGCCTGCGGGGAGGGGAGTCCCCAGGGACGAGCCCCGTCTTTCACCCAGCAGCCTGGCGGCTTCCAGGTGGAGGTGCCGTGTGGACAGCTCAGCAAAGTGAGGAGACTTGGGCCGGTGAGGAATTCTGTCCTTTAAGCTAACAGATGACATTGGATTGCGCTAGTAGAAAAAGTAAAATTACGGAGGAAGCAGAAGCGTCTAACACACACTAACAGCTTTTATAGTCAAATAGGGAAAAAAAGTGCAGCAGAAACACAGGCCGCAGCGTAATTCAGAAAGGTAAACGTGGCTGAGCAGTTTTTGTAAAGGCTTCCCCTCACGGCTCCCCCGAGTGGCATTGTACCTGCTGGCTTCAGAGCCCGAGGCCTGGACGGTGCGAGCCAGGGTCGCCCTCGCGCCAGACCGCAGCACACACGTGCAGGATACAGGACTGCGGCGGTCGACAGGCCCGCCCTGGCCGGCACGCAAGAACACGAGAATTGCAAATCTTGGGTACAGTCAAGGCTTCTGGGCTGTTGAAAATGTTATTTCACGTTAACAAGCTTGAGTTCCTTTATAACGATAGAGATTGAAGAAGAGCCACTCCAGCGGGACCTGCGGTGCGATTTCCGTCTGTGCCGCGGGCGGAGGTGACAAGGGCGCGTGTGCAGGCATGCTGGCCGCGTCCGTCAGACCTGAGGGTGCACGTGCCTGCAGTCCACACCCGCAGCTACAGGAGTACTCAGCACGAGCCAGATTTCTAGTGCTGGGGGGAGACTGAGATGCCCTGCGTGCCCTCGGGAGAGGACAAGAGGACAGCTGGCTGCGCGCAGGGGTGGGGCCGGGTGCGGAGGAGCAGGTGTAGGAGGAGGCCCTTGAGTCGGATTCAGACTTGGGGGGAAGCATCTCCCAACGGGTCAGGTGAGAGATGACCTGCGGAGTGGGGCTCCGCGGGGGGCCGCTCCGTCGCCGCGTGTCTGTGCCTCTTGGACCATGGAGGTGACTGTCCCCTTCCCAGAAAAAGCACAAGAGGGATGGCATGTCTCTGTGAAACTGCTGCAGGGTCCTGAGGGAGCTCTGGCAGGCCTGTGACGTTAACACGCAGTTTCAAGACCATCTGTCTGCTCCCCGCCGGAGCCTGGCGCCGCTGGGGCTCGTCAGAGCCAGGGTTACCCAGCCTTTCCCGCTCTTTCTATTAGTGCATGGTTAGGGATCACCTCGGGCCATTCCTTGTGATTGACTTCTTGCTGATGAGAGATTTTCCTGGATAGAGGCAGCCTCCGAAGAAAAGCGTCTGTTTTTATTTTGAAAGAATTTTTTTAAAAGATCCTTAAATACAGATGTGTAAAACTAATAATTTCTTCCTTTTATTAGCTTGACAGTGATCTTCTGTTACTTGGTTGTTTCCTGCTATTTAGTTGTAAATCTTTGTCAAAGAGGGTCATAAATACAGTTAATTATGCAGGAAACAGTAATACTGAATGAAGTACTGTTCACTGGTATAGCAGGCAGGTTTTTAAAACTAAAACACCAACCCAGTTTTTTTAAATGTTTCTTTCTATAAATAGCTGAAGTGAAATTAAACTGTACCGTGTGGCTAGACTAGATATTTTCTTGCTTCTGCTGTTTTTTTTTTAAGTGTGATTTTGCTGCTGTTGTTCATGGCATTTCTTTTTTTCTGCAAAATCATGATCTTGAAGTGCTTTACTTACTTTCTAAACCCTTTTTTTAAAAAATGCCTTTATTGTAAGTGAAGAGAAATAGAAGCAAGAAAGTAAAAATAGTACCCAAGATTCCACCGCCCAGAAATAGACATTTTTATCCTGAGGGGAGCATCCCTGATGCAGTGGGAAACCCTGACAGAAGTGGGGGGAGGGCGGGAAGCTCCCGGCTGGGGATACAAAGATGGGCTTTGTGCGGAACAGGGATTAGAAAGTTGGATGTACAGATAGAAATATTGTGTTAAAGCGCAAGTAAGTTTTTTTAATTTTATTCCAATTTAACAGAAGAACCTATAATCAAAAATCATAGTAAAGTAATTGCTGATCTTCAG